CTGCAGATATTTAAAATCTCATCTTTAATTTTTTTTAACATAGTAGGCACACCCATAATTGAATCTGACATCTTCAGTGCCTGACCCTCGTGGGTCTGTTGCTCTGACTCATGTGTCTGCTGGCTCTCATACATGGTGTGCCTTATTTCCTTGTATGCTTGGTGAGTTTGCTGCTCTTTGCCCTTTGTGGCCTATAATGAAGTGCCTTTATCTAGGGAGGATTTATTTGCTTCTGCTAGGTGCCTGGGGCCTATGAGGGAGTCCAGATCATTTTTGAAAAAAAAAATTTTTTAAAGATTTTTATTTGGTTAGTTTTTAAGTAATCTCTACACCCAATGTGGGGCTTGAACTCATAACCCCAAGACCAAGAGTCACACTTGGTCCAACTGAGCCAGCCAGGTGCCCCGAGTCCAGGATCATTTTAAATGAAATCCATAGCCTGAGATTTTTGGGGGGACCACTCAGGTGATACGAACTTGGGTTGCAGATCATGGGATTTTAATTTGTCAGGGTAAATGATGTTCCCTTTTCTGCTAAACACCAAGATATTTTTTCCCTCAGGCCCCATGTTTGAGGAAAAGAGAGAATTGTCCAGTAGGTGTAGCCTTTTGGGGCCCCAGCTTTATGGGGAGGAGTCACCTATTGAGCACATCACCTTATACTGGCTTTTTTTTTTTTTTTAAACCCATGAGCCCATGAGGAAGAAGATTCCAGCCCACATTTGCTAGTTTTGGCAAATACCTCAGGACCCAGGTAGTTAAGGTATTGTGATAACCTCTCCCTCTCTGAGTTCTTGCCTTAGTTTTAGGCCTGAAAGTTCCTTATTATCTTGTTTGCTCTTTGATGCTTTTAGGACCATTTAGCCTGGGTGTCCAGCTGGCTCAGTCGGTAGACTGTGTGATTCTTGATCTTGGGGTTGTAAGTTCAAGCCCCACGTTGGGTGTAGAGCTTACTTAATTAAAAACATTGAAAAGAAAAACCCCAACTATTTAAACCATTTTGCCCAGCATTTTTAGTTAGCTGTAAATAAAACTATAGCCACTTTTCCCAGGTTGGAAATGGCAGCTCAGAACAGGCCATCTTGGAGCAATGACAGGGGCCCAGAGCCCTGAAGGAAGAGCTGGGTGTACCTGGAGGAAGCATTCCCCCCCCCACCCCACCCCCACCCCGGCCACACACACACACACACAAAATAAAGGTAGAAAAAAATGGGCAAGTAATTCCAGTGCCCAAAATGACCTCAAAGTCTTCTACGGATTTACATTAGAAGGGCTTCTATGGGCTAATCTGATGAAGAATGCCACAGTAGGAAAACGGGAAAGGACACAGGTGGGCAGTTCACACATTCACCTTCACTAGTAGTCAAAGGGGAGCTGCCAACCCCTGTGGAGGGATGCAGGCACTCTCCTCCTGCTGGCAAAGCTGTAACGGAAGGCAATTTGGGCAATGAGCATACCATACACCCCAGAAATTCCACTTCTATAAAAATCCCCCAAGACAATAGTTGTGTGAATGTTTCTGTATCAAAGTTTAGCTGCAGATGTTCAGAGCAAGATTTTCTGCAAATTATTTGTAAAAATGAAAAATCACTCATACCCCAACCTCCTTCCTTTTCTGGGATTATGTGAAATGTGGTGAAAGCTTCTTGGTCTCTTTGGTCTCAGGCCTGTGAAAAATGCTGCTAACATTCAGTGTATAATGTCAAGTCTTGTGATCGTACCAGTGTGAAGGTGGATCTGTGTTCTACACACTGACCCGCAGCATGATCTGATACGTGAACGTCTTGGCCGGCAGCGTTCGCTGTCTGTGCTCAGAAGCTGACTTCATTCTCTGTAATGGCTACACACAGTGGTCCCTTGCAACACAGTTCAACTTCTTTTCCACTGGTGAATGTGTTGGTTGTGCACCATATTTTCTTATTTTTAAACATTTTTCAGTTCTAATAAATGATTGTGCAAAGAACATCACTGTACATACATCTTTACATATGTGTGCCACTGTTTTCTGTAGGATAAATTCCCAAAAGCGATATTGCAGGCTTAGAAAATTTGCACTGGTTTTTTGTTTTGTTTTTTGTTTAACTGGTTGCTTGGAGTTTATTTTACACTCGTTGCAAGGCACACGGTTCCAGGGTGTCAGGAAGGCTTGCTTGAGGCTTGGGTAGTAAAGAGTGGGGTTCTCTGAACTTCCTTTTTGGTGTTTTGCTGTTTGGATATAAAAGAACCCAATTGCTGCTTCTTGCTGCAGCCTGCCTAGTCTATGGGGGGGGGGGGACCTGGTGTGTGTGTGTGTTGGGGCGGGGGTCTCTGATGAGCCCAGCACCTCCTGAAGCCTGGTGGTGGCCATTCAAGATTGACCCATGTTGGCTTTGCCAGGCTGCTTCCTCAAAGCTTCCAGAGCCAAGTCACAGGTGACCATGCCGCTGGAGGCCTGGAGAGATTCCAAGCGCTGTGGGGACTCTGACACAATAGCCAGGACCGGGATAGTGGACTTCCCAAAAAGGAAGCTTGCCCACCAATGACCCGGGTTGGCCTTGGGGAGACCCCGGTGGTAAGGGATGGCTCCCCAGGATACTCCGAACTTGCACAGGAGCTGTAACTAGAAGTGGAACCCAGGCAGTGCCAGTAATAGTCATGGGTGGCCACCAGCGAGCCGCTGAGCGGATGGCTGCCATGCTGTTGCTCGTGGGCTGGCGACCTCCCAAGGGCCTCGACGTGCAATCGCAGGTGGCGGGAACCGGGACACTAGGCCACAGAGCCCATTAGTAGAGGAGACTGCCGGAGGCTGCTCCACAACCAAAGTGTGCCCTGGGGTGCACTTTTTGGATTTAAAGGATATAGCCATTGATGAGTGGAGACTGCCCGTATTAGCTCATGGTAAATTTTCAGGAATTCTGAGAGCATCACTATTAAAAAACTAGGGGTGCCTGGGTGGCTCAGTCCGTTAAGCGTCTGCCTTCGGCTCAGGTCATGATCTCAGGGTCCTGGGATCGATCCCCATGTTGGGCTCCTTGCTTGGCGGGAAGCCTGCTTCTCCCTCTCCCTTTGCCGCTCCCCCTGCTTCCCCTGCTTGTGCTCTCTCTCTCTGACAAATAAATAAAATTTAAAAAAATTAAATTGTATTAATTTACAAATAAATAGGTTATGTTAAAAACAAAAGTAATAAATACTGAAAACTCGTTACTTTTAATTAAGTTACTACAAGTTACTATTATCTATGTTCTTATTCTCTGTGTTCACCTCTATTGTATCTTGTATTTGGACAGTTGAAATACAACACAATGGCAGATACTATGCATCTCTTCCTAATTTTCCATTCAGTGATAGCATATTGATAACTTGAAATCAACCATGATGGCACCATGGAAACTGGCAAATGCTACAAATTAGCCCCCTTCCCCGTTTTCCAGAGTGTCAGTCATTAGACACTCACCAGCTCACAACTGTATACAACTGAATTACCTTCCCAAAAAGTCATTCTTTTTTTTTTTTAGATTTTATTTATTTGAGAGAGAGTGAGCACACAAGCAGGGGTGGGGGCAGAGAGAAAGGGAGCAGCAGACCCCCAGCTGAGCAGGGAACCTCATGCAGGGCTGGATCCCAGGACCCTGAGATCATGACCTGGGCACTTAACCGACTGAGCCACCCAGGAGTCCCCCAGAAGATCATTCTAAGTTACACTTCTACCAGAAGTGTATTAGATCTTGCCTTTTTAATATTTTTTCATGCTAAGTGTCTTGTTAAAAAGCATTTTAACATGCACGTCTTTGAGGATCATTGCAAATGTCTCTTGGCCATCGGTACACTGTGAGTTGCCTATTAATTCTTTGGCTTATTTTTCTATTGGGTTGACTAGCTTAAAAAAAAAGGTGGGGGAAGGAGAAAGGTTGTGGAGGTCTGTCTTGTATAAGAGAAGTAATAACCCTTCGACTGCCATCTGTGGCAAATATTTTTCTCTAATTCCTCTTTTAACTGTGCTGCTTTTCATGGTTTTTTTCCTCCCCATACGGAGGTTTTTTCCTCTCTCTATAGTCCAATGTGTCCACTTTTTCCAGTGTCACTTTGAGGATACCATTTAAGAAAAGCATGTCTAAATGTTCCTGGAAGGACCTGAAAGGCTACACATTAAATGTTAGCTTGTTGCATGTCTGCATGGGATTGCTACTGCCCGTGTGTGTGTGTGTGTGTGTGTGTCACACGCATGCTCTTAATCTGACCCCCATATCCTCCCCATTTGTTCACAGTTTCCCCATGTGTCAAGTGGGAGCTGAAGAAATAATGAATGTGCTGGACCCACTGGGATACAGAGGAAGGTGCAGTAAGTGGGGTATTTTCTGAAGTTTCTGCAATGACTGATTTTGAGAGGAAAAATATAAAAACACACGCTCTGACGTCTGTCTCCTTTCAAGTGTGGGATGCAGGCAGGGCTCCAGCCCGCCTCCCTGATGCACCTTGTCTGCTACACGGCTCCAGCCATCCAACCAGGTCCAGGGTCTGGCGGAGGGGCTTTCACACCCGTCCTCCAGGGCCCCCAGGCCCCTCCCACCAGGGCCCCCCAGGCCCCTCCTTCCAGGGAACCCCCCCCTCCAAGACCTCCAGGCCTTTCCCTCCAGGGCCCCCCCAGGCCCCTCCCTCCAGGGCCTAGGTCTGCGCAGGTCCCGGGCCGCGCCGGCAGGGGGCGCCGCTCCCTCACGTTCGCCGAGGCTGGACCCTGCTAGCGGTTCTGGCGGGGTCCGGGGCCAGGCGGAGGGTCCCGCCCCTGCGTGCCGGGATCTGGAAGAAGTTCGGACCTCGTTGGCCGGGGCACTACTAAGGGTCCCAAGCTCGCCTCAGGCGCCGGGGGTGGGGGCGACCTGATCCTCCCCTCGACCGCCCGGGGCGCCCAGAGGGCAGCCAGGGGCGCGCCCGGGTCTGACGACGGTGGGGTGCGACTCCGGCGTTTCTGAGACCCCCACCCCGCAGACCCGCGCGCGCCCCCAGAGAGAACACGCGCGCGCCGGCTGAGGCTTTCTTGCGGGAACTTTACTCGAACTCTGGAACTCGCGGGAGGGGCAGCTGGGGGGTCCTGCGACGCCCCCCTTCGAGTCTAGCCATAGCTGGAGGCCAGCGCCGAGATCACGTGGCTCAGAAACTTGTCCAGCGAGGCGTGCATGGCGGGGCCGAAGTCTCCGGGGTAGTGCCGGGCGAGGGTCACCAGCAGGCAATGGCCCAGGAACTGCGGGGAGAGGGAGTCGTTCCGCCCGGAGCCACCTTTCCCCCACCCCCTTCCTCGGCGACAGCCGGTCCAGCGCCGACCCGCGTGCTCACCTTGAAGTTGACGGGGTCCACACGCAGCTGGTGCGCGTGCAGGTCGCTCAGAGCCGACAGGGCGCCTGGCAGGTCATCCATGTGGGCCACAGCGGTGGTCAGCGCGTCGGCCACCTTCTTGCCGTGGGCCTTGACCTGGGCGGAGCCGGGGCTCAGATCGAAGTGGGCGAAGTAGGTCTTGGTGGTGGGGAAGGCCGTGAAGGTCCTGCGGGAGGGAGGGCGAGTGAGGTGCGGCCCGGGGGAGGAAGCTTGGGGAGAAGGGGCACCCGGAGCGGCGGGGGGCACCCGGAGCGGCGGGGGGCACCCGGAGCGGCGGGCGCAAAGCCCGGGAGCCGGTGGGGCGCTGGGGCCTGTTGGCCCGCACCTCTCCAGGGCCTCGGTCGCGTAGATCCCGACATTACTCCCCAGCTTCCTCCACAGTGCGCGCACTGCCGCCCGGTCCGCGGCGGATAGCACCATCGCGGAGCCTGCGTCCCACCGCGCGCGCCCCGCGCCCTGTCACTGCCCCTGCGCGACCGGTGGTTTCTCTGCGCCCCCCCGCCCGTAGCCTGCAGGGGGCGCCGCGCCGCGTCCGCGCCGCACCTCTGCTGGTAGAGTCGGGTTCTGAGGGGTCCCGGAGCCTGGGACCTTCCCCATGGCCATGCACCGCGCGACCCCACTTTTGTAGTGTTTACTATATGGAAAGTAATAGTTTATTATTATTATCGTTAGTATTAGGGGACACTGAATTTTAGCGTGGATTTTGACATTGATCGTCAGCTTATTCTCCCTCCCTTCCTCCAGAGCCTATTATGACACTCTCGGAGTCTATTTTCGCATTTATTGTGTAAAATGAACATAAAAATGTCCTCTTCCCAAAACCGTTGTGAGAATTAAGTGGGTAACAAATGTCAAGCGCCTGGCTCATAGCAGATATTCCTTTCAGGACAGTAAATAAACATTTATTAAATGCCTCGGATGTATGTCAAAAGTAATACCTGATACCTATACTGGGCACTCACTCTGTGCCAGGCACCACTCTACGCATTAATAAAATGGGGGGGGGGCGCCTCGTGGCTCAGTTGGTTACTCCACTGACTCAGTCTCAGCTCAAGTCTTGATCTCAGGGTCCTGAGGTCAAGCCCCATGTTGGGCTCCACGCTGGCTGTGGAGCCTACTTAAAAAAAATTGTTTTTTGGTAAAATTAATATAACATAAAGTTACCATATTAGCCATTTTATTTTATTTTTGAGAGGGAGAGAGAGAGCAGAAGGGCAGAGAAGAGAGAGAGAATCTTAAGCTAGGTGTAGAGCCCAATGCCAGGCTCCATCTCACAAACTTGAGATCATGACCTGAGCTGAAATCAAGAGTCTGATAACTGCCTGAGCCACGCAGGCGCCCACCCCCCCATATAAGCCATTTTGAAGTGTACAATTCAGTGTCTTTAACCACCTTCACAATGTTGGGCAACCACCACTATCATCATCCCAAATGGAAACTTTGTCCCCATTAGCAGTCACTCCATAACCCTTCTCCTCCAGTCCCACCAGTCTGCTCTCTGTCTCTGTGGATTCGCTTATTCTGGATATTTCATGTGAATGGAATCACACACTTCTCTGTCTGGCTTCTTTCATTTAGCATCGTTTCCGGGTTCCTTCACGCTGTGGGCTGTGTCAGTGAGCACTTCATAGCTCTTAATGGCTAAATAATATTCCACTGTATGGATAGACTGTGTTTTGTTTATCCATTCATCCCCTGATGGACATTTGGGTTGTTTCCACTTTTAGCCCAGGCCCTCCTGGGCTAAATAAAAATAAAAATTTTTTTTTAGCCCAGGCCCTCCTGGGCTAAATAAAAATAAAAATTTTTTTAATAATAATAAATAATTTTTCCTAATAATAGAAGAAGGAAGACTGCCTCTTACTGAGAGCTCCTACTGTGCCCCCAGCTGTGCTAAAAGTATCACAAACTCAGGCAGAGACCTGCCATCTCATTTTCCAAGGATGACTCTTGGACCCAGAGAAGAAAAGACATTGCTGTTAGTTGAACAGGGCTCGGGCCTGGATGGCTGCTGGGACCAGACGCCTAAGGCGCTAGGGGCTTGCTCTGAGGGGAGGAAGCATGTGGAAGTGCTGACTCCCAGGACCTGGCTCTTCTCCCTTGCAGTGTGTGTATGTGTGGGGGGAGTTGGTGGGCCTCTGGGCCATGCAGTAACTGCTGAGCTGGCCCCCAAAACCAGGCCTCCAGATCCACAATGCCCCAGGATGTCAGTATCTTCAGAGGGAGTGTCCTGGAAGTGACACCAGGAGAAAGAGGCGCCACCAGGAAATTGCCTGGCTTCTGCAATTGCACTGCTCATGCCGATTCCATCTAGACTGTGTGTGTACTTGGGAAGCACTTGATGGGTAGGGGCCATTCCGTGAGACTCCAGGAGCCTGACCTCTGGTCTTCCCCACCACCCAACTTCAGGGAGAGCAGCGGGAGAGCTCAGAAGTCCAGGCTGGAGACCCTCAACTCTCAGACCAAGTGTGTGTCATAAAATGTAGAGATGGAAACCCGGTTCATCATTTCAGCAAATGGGAGCGGAATCTGCAAAGTTCTGAAATGAAACGCGGGACATGGAATGCACGCAAGGGACCACTCCAGGTGCGGATGGGGAATCCCAAGCAGTGGCGCAGAACCCACCCCACTCCCCTCCTCTGCCCTTTTCTTGCCTTCCCTCTCCTGGACGCTGCGGACAGGTCCCTGGTGCGAAGCGAGGAGACCCCCCCCCGCCCCCTCCGGGCGCCGCGGCACGTTCGCAGACAAAGAGAACGGAGGCGTACA